CTTTGAAAAGTTTTTGCTATAGACAGTCACCATCAAAGGTGACTTGGAAGAAAGAATAACAAACTATCCTGACACCTGAGATGCTGCCTAGCTGCCTAGCATATGTTCTAGCATACACTCCCCAGAACCGAAGTGAATGGCATGGCCCCTTGGAAGAACATGTTCAAATACCAAACGGTGCCATCCACTTCCAAGTTATTTCCAGGGAGTGTATATTAATAGTGGTATGACAGTGTGTACAAGTCATATGGCATTGGTACCCTTTTTGCATTTCTCGGATACACTCGAACATGACATGGGCGGTGTAGGTTCTGACCTGGGCACTGACATCTGTATCCCGACACACCAAAGCCTCTATCATATGCGGCCCAAATAGCTTATTGCATTGCTATTCACAGGCCAAAGCCAGGTTCCATACTTCCCCTCAAATCCGACAGTAGGTGTTTCTGGCCGAACGAATCATAGCTACCACCAGAACGTTGGAAACCCGGAGCACGGGGTGCCACCAGCCCGGCTTCTCCACTGCCACGTGCTCACCGAGATCCAGAGCACGGCTCATGGAGTCTTCTGACCGGAAAGTGGTGTAGCTCACTGGTAGCGAAATCATGGTAGTGGCTACAACAACAACAACAACATCATCATCATCATCATCATCATCTGATTGTTCATCATAGATAATCTTATCTTTCAGTCATAGTCGCACTCATAAAGAATCCTTGGTCCCGGTCACGGTCGATTGGAACCGCAAAACACCAACCAATTCGGGAGGATTTTGTCGGCGGGCACCTTCTCCTCTTGATTGAGCAAGTCCTCGGTGAGAGCCTCAACTCCTTTACTTTTGATTTCTCTCACCAGGGGCTCTGCTTTCTCTGGATTCAAGGCGCCCTTGGATGCCTTCACCAAGAGAGATTTCATCTCCTGACAAGTGGGCCGCCAATACATTGGATTCCGAAAACAAGAGGATTCACCAAAAGGATCAACTTTATTGAAGCACAGTATTATCACTTCATATTTGTCTCAGTGTGTCCCGACCAGTCTCCTCTTCACTCATGGAATGGATCACCTTCTCTTCGCGCTCAACACTTTTGGAATCGGTGCAAAGTTGAGTAAAGCGCGCAGAGTTGAAGCTGCCACGGATGATTGTTTCTTGCTTTTGGACGTTGGGCAGCGCGCCAACCTTGGAGAAAGACGGAGACACACGGAAATGACAAGTGCATCGGGGGGGGCAGTCTTGACCAGGCAAATGGAAGAGGATCTAGCAGTCCCAAAGATTCTGCGACCTAACATGAAACAAAGGTGGCAATTCGTGTTGCTCCCTTTCACAAAGAAAAGGATTGAGGATATGGATTCCCCCCCCCCCACACCAGCCCAGTGGATTCTTGCAGGATCGCCAATTTTTTGGGGGTCAGCCCAGCAACACCAGCCCAGCAACATGAATGATCCATCCAAGTTGAAAGTTCAGAAAATGATTCGGCAGGTGGGCCTTGTTGTCAATTTTGTTTATCTCCACTTGAACAACAACTCTCAACCTGGCAAGCAAGAAACAACAAAACAACATGCAACCAACCTCAGTCCAGTCCAGCCTCTTCAAAGAAAAACAACACTGTAAGTCTATCCAACTGCTAACTTGCACAGCGAGGGGTTGAAGTCTGTAATCAAGAAAGGGGCCTGCGATTAAGCTGTTTCTAATTATTACCTTTCACTGATCACCTCCCAAATTTGAAGAAACTTGTTTTTGAAAGACCCTTGGAAAAGACCCTTTGAACAAGGAAAAACAAGGGGACATCGCACTCAAAAATCCTTATTTCGCGGCCTCACAGGTTGTTTTCACGCAAGGCTTTTCCCCTGCTCAAATGCCCAAATGCACATGCAAGCCTTGGGTCACCAAAGCAGCTGTTTGTTTTCTTAATTTATAGTTCAGGTTTGTAGTCAGAAGGTGAATCTGTTCATGTAATCAGCTAAATTGGCTCAAAGGTAGCGTTCATAACAAAAATGCAACGTGCGCACTGTGCACCGCACTACTGAACGGAACAGTGTGGCACTGAGACAAAAAACAGGAGTGGCGCTGAATGGCATGACAGGGCAACAATGGCAACAACAACCTTGAGCAAATCTGTTCAATCACCTGAACACATCCCTCAATCGCAGGGTCAGATTCCCTAATCGCAGGGTTGATTCCTTAATTACAACATGCATGTTGAAATTAAAGTGTTGGAAAAAGATGTCCCCCAGATTTGGGTGCAAACTGTTGATTTTCAATGGAATTCACCAGATTCTAGGGGGCATCTTTGCAAAGATGTCCCATGGATTCTGCAAAAAGAAGCCAGCTTGTCCATAATTTTCAGCAGATTCTGGGGGACATCTTTTTCCAAAGCCTTAACTACAACATGCATGATGGAATCAAGGAACCAACCCTGCGATTAAGGAATGTGACCCTGCGATTAAGGAATCTTGCCTGCTATAAAGGATTTGATTTCTTGGATTGAAGAAGTCAAGGCTGCAATTAGGTTAGGGAATTGCACCTGCTTGGTTCAGTCCTTCAATTGTGATTAGCGGGTGTGATTCCGGATATACAATTTCTGATTATACCCTTGACCAATCCCATGATGGGTGCGAGTCACAGTGGAAGTGTGCAGATCCAGACTGACTGCATTGCATAGTGTAGTTTTGGGTCCGATTCAGGGGATCCCACGGTAGTTCCCAGGGTGTAATTTGTGACTTCAATGCTTTTGAGATCTGATAATTTTTGTTCTCAAACTCAGATTCTAGGATTGATTGTGCCTTGAAATACCTTAATAGCAGCCCTTTCATTTCCTTTGTTTTGGAGTCTCTTATGAATCTGAGCGGGATACTCTCAAAAAAGACCCCCGAAACACCAGATTCCTTAATCACAGGGTTGCTGCTAAAACGCAGGGTCCTGTGCAAGTCCACATATCCAACACTAGAATAAACCAGGCAGCTTGCTTTTCAAGCTTGGAGCTGTTTCCCGAGGTGGCCCTCTTCATGAAACTCAAGAATTGGGCCATGCTCTCGCCAAGCGTGCCTGCAAGGCTCTCTGGTAGGAGCTTTTGGCACTCAGAGACCTTCCCTTCTTTGGCGAGTGCGCGTGCCTTGTTCAATGCGCGACCCACAAAGCCCATCAAAGAGCCAATCTCTGCCAGCTGGTTCAGGCAACTCAATGAGTCCAAGTAGTCACAGTTATCAACCAGATTCGGCAGGTCTGTGGCAAGAACTGCAGCAGCAGAAGCCATGAAACCGGATGAGACCTCCGGCTTCAACATCTCCTCATCCGTGTAGCGGCAATATCCTCATCCGTGTTGCGATCTTGCGAGCCAGTGGTGTGATTTTGCGCAACTAGATCCGCAAAGGTTCGGGCCAACCAACAAGTACAACATAGTACAACAAGTGAACTCCCACTCACTCACTCACTCACTCACTCACATTTTGGAATTGAACCATGATCGCATGAGACAACCATTGGTCCCAAAATCTACTCCCAAAAAGGAAGGCAAGTAGGTCATTCATACACCGTATGAATCACCTTCCCCCCTGCCGGGTGAATCGGACGGAGAATTCGAGCTGGTAAAAACACATCAACCCATCCAAAGATATCAAACTTGACAAGGCAAAGCCTTGGTCCCATGTCACTGGCTGTATGGTGTGGATCAGATCGAACTCTAAAGGATCGATCACATCTGCAGGCGACATCGACCACCAGCCGAGCGTCTGGGGCAGGTTCCAGTCTTTTTGCGCTTGAACCACTGGTACATGCGAAGGACCCGGGATTGGGTGACTTCCTCCACCAGAAAAGCAGCCAGAGAAGGATGGGCGAAGCAAGGCAAACAGCTCAGACTTGATACCAAGTTCAAGGAACTGATCCACAACTATCAGGGGGTATACGGTATACTATATGACGTATTTGTCCAGACTTCACACCAATGGGGGTGAGGGCGCTTGCCAAAGGATTGTTGAATATGACCATACCGGTCACAGTCGGTCACAGTCGCGCGACGGCCTCACCGCAACTCACAAGCAGAAAATGGTACCCCAGAAGTAGAACCCTAGAAAGAAGCAAACCGATTGACAATGACAAACACCGAACCTGGTTGGGGGACACCAGGTCCCGCTGGTGTGGCTGAGTCACAGTCAATCTGGGCCGTGAATCCCTGCGAATCCCGAATGAATCCCTGCGGCACGGCATCAGCACGAGGTGAATCCGTCCTCCTTCCAGGGCCTGCAGAAAGAAGGGCATGATTGATCTTCCAGTCGACGGCAAGCATCCCAAAAGGTGCAGCCAATCACTTTGGGGCAAAGCTTGGACTGAAGCTTGGGGCCATACATCTCCTGGTCCTCAGCATCCACATCACAGTCCAAGTCCAGCGCATCCTTGGATGACCGGATGGCTCCTCCGAAGATGAAGTTCACAAAGACACACAGACCGACCAGCACGAGCTGAGTCATGGTCGAGTTGAATCGCATATGCAAGCTGTATGAGCAGCAAATGCTTCAGGGTCGGGCTAGTTCAACCCCTCAATCTTTCACGACTCTATATAGACCCCCAAATAAATAGAAAAGTAGATCCCCACTAAAAACGTGTTGGAAAGCGTTTCTATCCATTTGGTGACCTCTGAGCCCATTTAAGTCCTAGTCAGGAAGGATTTCCTCCTTCCAAACACCTTTGAAACAAGGCGAACCGAAGACTCCTTCCCCCAGCTCCATGACACATGCTTTGCGACTCCTCCATGTCGCGCGATGTTTTAATGCCTCAAAGCAAAACTTTTAAACACAAATCTAGCACCAATGCAACTCCAAGAAGGCACTTCCCAATGTGGCACCAATGAGTACGTTTTCCAGCGATTGCTCCTATCTGTCCAGTTGTCCATGGTCCAAGCAGCGTTCACATCTTCAACCCATGACATGAAACGACACCAACCCGTCGCCGCCCAACCCGCCGCGAACGGCGGACCCGACGTGCTCGTGTCGTGACAGGCCGCTCGCGCCTGAGTGAAGCGGCTCAAGCACTGATCTGCCCAAATGTCCTGCCGTTTACGGAGCCCTCCCCCTCCAGTGTCGCTCGGGAGGTCTAATGTTGGGCCGAAGCGACATTGGCACCAAGTCCGGCCTCCAGGTTCCTGACCTTTTCAAAGTCCAAATGCCGGAACAACACACACCAAAACCATCCATGTAAATTTACAGCCTACCACATTGACCCCACCCAACTTGTTCAGATCCCAACGGCTCGACGAGGTCGGGTTGGGGATGCTTCGAGAAAGGAAGGCGTTGGACCAGAGGCGGAGACGATACTTCTCCCCGGTGCCGGATGCCTTGCTGGCGGCTAAAAGGCAGCTGTTGGGGAGATTCGCCTGAGTGTCCCCCCAAACAACTACTTAAAACTTAAATCTGTTACAAATCTTACAAACGCTTCAGACGGCTATAAATGCTATACATGTTACAAGCTACCTACTAGAGCAGTTTTGTTATAAACACGATACATGTGCTGTACACATCGCACTCTTTCGCCACTGTTTCAAGGTTTGCTCAACTTTAGGAGTCAACGACACCTAGACAGTCCCACGGGTGAAGTCAACCCCCCAAACACGACACCGATCGGAGATAGCCATATTGACCGATCAATGGACGTTGTTGAAAGGGAGTGGTTTTGTATGCCATATATCTAGTAGGTTGGAGGCCATCACTTTTAGGTCCATTGCTAGTAGGTTG